GATATCCGCCCCTTGCTTTGTAATGATAACTTGCCCAAGACGTCGACACTTACCAACCAACTGAGAAGATGTCCGCCCCTTGCTTTGTAATGATAACTTGCCCAAGACGTCGACACTTACCAACCAACTGAGAAGAAAACCGTCCCCTTGCTCAATATGGATAACTTTCCCATGACGGTGATGAAAATGTGTCCGTCAACCAAATGATAAAATGTTATATCTAAAAAGAAGGGTAATTTAAAAGACATTGTATTTGTTGTGTGAATACCCACAACAGATGCTACTGATTGAGAAATCACAACTCCGTTTATTGTAGCGTTATTTCAAAAAGATTCACTTTCCGCAATAATAAAACTATTCGGAAAACAATACCCGGATGTTTATTGGACGTTACGCAGTTCAGGTAGACAATTTCGTTGTACATCAAACAAGTATTATGTACGCATATGTTTGTGACTTTTTCATCCATATAATGTATTGGTGGTGGTGATATTAGGCAATTATCAGGAATTCTGTAATTCTGCACATGAGTCTCGTCCAAATAGACGTCAAGACGAACCATTGGAAATAATTTGGGTAAAGCAATACCGTTGATGCACAATATTCTGAAAGAGTGACCTGAATGTTATAGTTGGTAATAGACTGTGCTAACGTCGTGTCACGACTTGCTCATACTACCTAACCATGTCACGTCTTTACCTAGATTTAAAGACAGATGGATGTCGAGCTAATTGCCGTGTATTTGTCGTGGAAGTTATTTTGCTGTAGATATGTTGTGTTGATAAAGCACTGACGGGTAACTGTCATATGTTTCAGAACTGACAAGGCATGTCCACGGTATGTGTCTATTGACAAATATCTCAATTTCTCAGTGTTGTTCAGACATCTACTTTCCCGAAAACGTACGTTTTTGTACATTAACATATTCACCTCGCTCACAGAGGTATCTCTATTTTACCCATATGAAATTGAATACCAAAAACACATTTAACGTTACGTTATAATGATATCAGTGTCGTGTTCCCCCCAAAAATAAGCCATCCCGCTAATCAATATTTCGTAAATGGATCATATATCACTTTGGTGTCTCTATAGTGGGAATGTGGATTACATGTTGTTTAATTTGAAAATCACTAGGTACTGTATATATATAAAAATATGTATTTGAGTCATCGGACAGATTGGGGTTAGTTTTCAAGAATTTGAATATTCAGTGTGTTCAAATAATTTTGAAATGATTTTAAGACTTGAAGTTGATATTACACATGCAGGATGATATCCAATGTACCTACACGAGAAGACGGTTATCTTAAAACAACTCGCCTGCACTGCTATGGGCAACACAAATTTCATATATGCTTTGCGACTCGTCCGGTTCAAACATTGTTTTTTCAGGATACAATTTGTTTTCTGTATATGTCTAGCGGAGTTAAAGTTAAACTCGTTGATGCAGTGGCCAGTGTATTGGTTGGTTAAACCTGTATTCGTTAATATCCCTGGACTATTATTTACTTAGTGTGTCACGTTCGTGCCACTATGCACTCTGCCATTACGTCAGTTAATTGAATGACGTAATTGTAATTTAAACGCTGCATTGTGTAAAGATGCGTTATTATGAATATATAATTTCGAATAGATGTTTTTTTGATTGTTGACAAAAACAGATTCTGCTTAGAGAGGAAAGATAGTGCACTAAGTTCATTAGCGTACGTGATAAACGTGTTCCAATGAAATAGTTCTATACTATTAACGCAATATGTCCTAGGGGGTTTATTGGTTGGTAAGATGGTAGTTTTAAAATCACCTAGAGGGTACTATTGTCGGTAGGATGATAGTTATGAATCACCTAGAAGTAAAGAGAGTGTGTTCCCATATACACTTGATCAGTATCACTGTACGAGGTGTAACGACATTGTATAAATCAATTCAGTAGTTTATGCGTACAATGTGTAACTCTATATATGTATTATTTAAAGCCATTTTTTCTCATTATACTGTTACACTATGACTATAACTATGATCATAAGACGCCAATATTTGTTTCCATCCTTTTCGCCACAGGCGCCACTGTTAAAAAAGCCGATACTATGACAAGATTACATAGATACATCGTTACCATCATGTAACATCATACACACTAAGGTAGATACTGGAACACTGGATTGAATAAATCATATTTACAACTGATTGCACTATTTGCCATTATTGTTATTCATCACAAAAATGCCTGAACTTTTTTTTAGCAATAACGTAGTGATAATAAAACTACAACTATTAAAGGGGTATTGTCAAAAGTGTGACGAAACTGCACGAAACTACACGCTCGAGTGAGTACCACATGTGACACGCAACCCACGTAGTAACAAACACAATTACGTTTATTTGATGATTGCCGCGAGTGCGTGCCAATATTCAATCAATTATCTCCGATACAATGCCAAACCAACGTAATACAACACATGGACATCAATGTTCCATCTGAGCATGTGCGAACGAACGCAAACCTTTCAAGTCGGACTAGTTTTACAACCGTCACCAAATAATATTGTTTACATATCAACTCGTGCTGTGGCTTATATCCGACTATCCTGGCCACCAAAAGTAAGTTCAGTGACATAACCTGCTCGGCTTTTCCTGTCGCGACTCATCTATCCATTTACCGAGCACTGTTTATATTGTAGTGACAATTCATATGGTATTAAACAATATGTATAATCAAACACCTATTAGTAACTCTATATGTCGCCACAGCATTACTGGATTGTCAAGTCATGCTGCGTTAAAACTACCTTATTTACAATACTAGTATTTTCAATGTAAATTAAAAAGCACGTTTAAGAGGATTCGATCATTATTTTTTTTTACATATAGTTGTTTGGTAATCGTTTTTTGAGATTGTGCAAGACAATTTTCCACCTCACATGACGAGCTTTTCCTTTATCTCTAGCATTCCAACATCAGGCAATTACACCAATGAATTTTGTTATGTTCGCTGTTAAAAGGCTCCTGAGATAAAAGTTGATATAATTACAGTGTTGACATACTGCACCGATGGGTGGGCGCCACAATAGCGCACTTACTTTTACAAGTATTAGCGTCAAACATTCCACCGCTACTCCATGTGCGCATTTAAACTATATAGTAGTAGGCAACGAGACGCATGGCAATGTAGTGTTTGGGAAATGATTTGCATAACAACAATTTGAATGTATGCTGTTTGTCAATGGAGCTGGATTAGCCCCAATAGTTTCCAATCTACAGACTGTGTATGGTTCTACATTTTCCCACTCCACTGGGAATAACTATTGACCCCCCCCCCCCAATAATATACGTGAAACTGGATTCCGAACAATGGCGAATCAGAGCAGACGCCACCTTCGCAAAAGCGAAGACCTTTAAACATTGCAGTGATACAGGTTGTCTATCCATCAAAGGAATACCCTAACCTATGATATAATTGACCGAAAACATAACATTACACAGCATATTATGATATACACTCCTTGTAGAGTTTACCAAGTATAACTTACTAATCAACTTCTAATTACCACATATTAATTAGCTTGACTAATTGTTTACAACGCGCTCGCATTTTATGAAACGAACGACCACGGACCGACTATTGAATGCATTGCTAATGACATGTCGGAATCTATTAGATGAAATTGAAATGTAATAAATAGCTGCAGGAACGCTGGTAGTTGTATACATAGCTTTGACATGTATCAATTTACCAATCTTTTTCACATATGTTTTATAATGATGATCCTAATCAATGTATAAGCACGTTTTTAATAGACTGGTTATATCGACACACAATTAATAATCTCTTCGTTTATGTTATTTATACAACTCATAGTGATGTGTACTGTTGTTCTTTGTGTTCATCTATGACCTGTTTATTAGTATTCAAATTAACTTCCATAGTTACAGTGTAATAACCAATAGAAATTGTACGTTGTACTGCACTAGTCAACAACAGGCGGTAATTGTTATTTCAAGTATTTAGTAATTAATTGAAAATTGGGTTATTGACCGTGCAGTTGGCACATCTTAAAATAATCCCATTTTGTATTTAGGATTAAGTTCATTTTAAGCTTTATCTTTGATGATATATCTGAATGCATTAGTTGGAGATTCATGTAAAACTTAATAGTTTTAGCAAAGACGCAAGGATACAGCATACAATTGTGACTGTTATTGTTTTTCATGGTATGGGTAGATTGGAAGGATTCGGGTAGGTTTACAATTAAATTTAACAGTTCACTATCGAGATAACAGTATTCTACCAACAACATCACATCAGACCCCACAACATCACCTATTTACGCATGACCTCTCGTCACGTCACCCCACGTCAAGTCTTGTCACGGCACATCGATCACACCACAACGCATCATATGACATCCATGCTTACTAGGTGTAGACTGCAACGCACTGACATGTTGTGTAACCACAAAGCACAAAGCTATATTTTATACAGACAGTACGCCTGTCATATATTAAAACATATCCGTTGACCTTTGAACTAAAGCCTACTTTCCGACAATCAATTTTTTTAAATGTACTGTAACACTACGCTGAAATTTTAAATGTTTTGACAGTAACTGTTCACTGTATGCCTATACAAAAACATGCTTGAGTACAGTGAGGTGCGCCACACAGTCGGAAAATTAACACTCCTTAAAAGGGCATTATTCAAATTAGAAACACTGAAAATGTAATGTGATTGGCGAATACTGCCTCTAGGTATTAGTCATTTTATAGGCACATGCCACATCCACTGTGAACAACACTCGTGCAAGATATCTTGGTTAGTATGTTGCTTAGCAACCACTGAAATCTTCCAAACACCATTATAATGACATCGAGTGTTGGTTTATTTCAGAACGCACTCGTGGAACTGGTCGTACAACATCGTACCTAGAGAACCGATTCTACCGCATAGTTTGTGTGATGATTGGTATTGCGTAGCGTCAATGACAGAACAGCCTTTCACGATGGCAACAGAGAGACAATTGCTACTCCGAAATAACAGCAGCGATATTATTTCGCCAACTGCAGAGAATGTTCACCAGCCAGATTATTACAACTATTGGTCGTTGTTTATAATATTATTTTCACTCGTAACCGTATTTGGAAACGTTTTGGTATGTCTAGCGGTGTTTCGTGAAAAATCACTGCGTAATATCACAAACTATTTTATCGTCAGTCTCGCGGTTGCCGACCTCTCAGTAGGTTTGCTGGTCATGCCTGTCGCAATATACGTCGAGGTAAGTACTTTTAAAGATCTCAGTTCAATGACTATTAAACCGTGTCAACAGTCAAGTAGTCACCTTTCATCACACTCTGTTTTTCTCTGAATATGGGATGTTATCATTTAATCACAAAACATATTATAATTCCGGGGTATGGGAATATGTCAATGATATTATTAAAACTGAATAAACTGTTCATCAATGTAATACGACGATTTTGACATTGTGACAATGTATGGACTTGAATCCGAAAGGCAAATGCACTTCTTCAAAAACGAAATTGTACTTTTCATCTCTATTCCGTCTAACAGTAGGTCTTTGTAAATACCGAGAATGACGTATCAGAAACCGAACACTACACACCGGCACGGATCAACTATCATTTCCGCAATTGTTGTGTTATTCATCGATTCAACAACACATGACTCAAACGTCAGAACTTTCTGTTCATTTTTGTTGACATCAGACTCATACAATTGTAATGAATCATTCATACTAGGCACCAGTAAATGCAGCATGATACGATAAAATATGTCTTGTCGCAACTATCTACTGTGATATCAACTTTAGAATATACGTTGATTATATTGATAACATTCTCTTTCATATTTTGTGAAACGTTAAATGGGCACGTTCGAAGTGACGAGTTGGTAATATGGTAGATATTCGCTAAGGTAGGGAAATAATGATCAGTACTGTCAGTGTTGCCAGCGCACCATATTCTAACAAATAGAGAGATTTGGGACATGCTCCTGGGGAATGTGCGATATATAAATGACTACACGTTATTATTACTACACCAGGTGTAATTTCCGTTTCGTAATTCCATGCAAGAGACATTTTATATTGATTCAAGTTAAAATGTTCTCAGATTTCTAGACTGCGACTTCAATAGGTGATCAAATATCAATCAAACGGCATGACAAACCAAACATGTTATCCAAAACATAACAATGTACTATCTATGTGATGGAATGAATCGCTCACTCAGTAGGTTTCCCGGAGGAAAGATTATCTTGTTCATATGAAATTTAAATTCATTACAGGCATTTGAATTATCCTGAAAAACAAATAGTACTTAGGAATACGAGACATGTTTTTTAAATCACGTTTATTTATGCCAACACATGGAGACATCTATGTCTAAATCAAACACAATTTCTAACAGACACATATAAATGATTCATGAAAGATAATACTCCGCTTCGTAGAAATAGAATTGGGAGCCAGCCTTGAAAACAACGCTATCAATTGGCTGATATTCCGATGTTGTTTTCAACCATTGAAACCATAAAGCTGTCTAGACGCCCACACCATTATCCGTGGCCAATGTAGCTTTGGTTTGTTCATATATGTAATCCCGCGGAGGGGGGTTTCTAATCGTCAGCACAATCAATCACATTTTGTTTATGTATTTTTTAATATACTTTGAGCAAATCACCGTGGAATACATTATTTATTTCATTCTCATATTGTCGATTTATCTCCTTTCCCTACTCGGTGCATTCTTGACTAGAGATATTGAAACTCAACACTTTCCATTTGTTCGTGCACCAAATGATGCATCTGTCGTATCCTGTTCATTCTAACAAGGCTACTATAAAGACAATGACTCTGCTCACCCTGGCTAGGCTAGGTTTCTTCTGGCAACGCTATGTCACCATCTATATATTACTTATACCCTTACCACCCAAGCAAAGATGGGTCTCCGTCAGTCTAACACATCTTCCAGACCCACTCATGCTTAGTTTTCATTATGACAACACTCCTGCCCTTGCAAGACTAGGTTACCACAAATTCATATATCCTACTCTGTTCACCCTGGTATAACTATAGGCTCAGTTATCATAAAGTTAATAATACTAGCCTGCCCATCTTGGTATTGCTAGATTACTTACTACAAAGGCGCCCCTACTACCTTTCCCACACAAATTATCCACCTTGGCACGGTGTTAAGTATCGAACACGCAGTAATTTGATGTGTACTATGGTTTGCTCATAGGACACATATAGGAGCACAACAAATGCAAAGAACAAATTGTTAGTGTGCCAGAAGAGTCTATGTTTTATGACGGCTATTGGCAAACACCTTTCATTTAGTTAAAAATTCTTCTATCAATAAATACCTCCCAATCTTTCTATTTTCTGAGGTCGTAGTTAAGAACTAAATTATCATTTTTACATCACATCACATCACATCACATCTCAGTATTCCAAATAAATAATACTGAAAACATGTCAATGTATATTGCATCCACAGTCCATATAGAAACTACTTTTAATGTTTTTTGGTCAATTATAAATTATGCTCCATGTAGTATTATTGAACATGTTACTAAACAGTGATGTTGTTTAATTCATTCTATTGATAAAACGTAGATGATATCATTACGTAATAACTGCCGAGCCACGCCGCTGTGTATTACATATGTAAGCACTTCCATAACACCAACCTTGTGAACGAAACTGTTTTTAATAGAAATGTCTTTTTAAATTGGCATTTTCGAGCAAATATTTTATTATAAAATAAGAGTATGTATATTCATCAAACCGTTGATGTAGTGTAAGGAAGGATGCTCTTATCGGTAAAACACGTGCGACTAGTTCGCTAGAGTGAATCTAGATGAAACGACGAATTTAAAGTTGAAGACAGGAAATACATTCCAACAGACAATATAGGCGTTTGATAGTGAAGGTTTTGCTAGCATGGTTACCATGGCAATATGAATTATCCACTTTTGCTTAATTTCTTATGATTATTTAATGTTTCTTTTTTCTAGGAAATCCTACCTCTAATTATTTGATGCGCGTGGTGACGCACTCGTCTGTCAATTAATTACACCAATTCACACTGAAGTACACCCCATAATGACCAATAAACGTAGTTACTCATTTACATAGAAACCGTGGGCGTCTACACTTGTAGAGGTCGTAAAGATGAAACTACATTTTCCTCACTTGCCGGAAATAGGAAAACTGCACATCTTAATGCAAATATTGATAGAATCATTCATGACATATATGCTTTGTAGTTCACATCTGTCAAGCTATTGGTATTAACTCTTTCATATCATAATTCTATTGGCAATGTAATTTTCTGCACATTCAATGATGGACCAACGAGTATGATATACACATTCTGATTAAAAATCATTCAAGTTTAACATCGTTCACGGAAACGAGTACGTGTCTATTTCATAAATGATCACAACATTTGACAATGACAGTGAAATGTTCTAAATTAGAGCATTAACCCATGCAATTGAGGTATATAACGTGGGAAGATTGTATAGATACATCTTACTACAGTGAGATTCTGCTAAACATATGGTATCAACGGAGCATTTATATTATATCGTTTGCTTCAATGAACTTGACTTAAAATTTAAAATTTAAATTCGTTTGCTCTGGCAGTCGTATAATATACGTGTATACCTTTTCTGATGCACATTTGTATATGTGAAAGATTAAAAAAACATCATGTACAATAATCTAGAAACACGATGAAAAATTAATCATGAATATTACATGTTCACAACTGGTCACGTCTTACATATCATACGAATAACATAACACTTGAATTTCATAGTGTGAAAAATAATAGTGTGTCTTGGACGCACAGCATTCGTTATTTTCTAAAGACTTTTTATTACACAAATAATTCCACGTAATCCATGCCTCCTATTTCAGTTTGTGAAATGTGAGATAAATTAAAGGTTGAAAAGAGACGGCAGCACATCATTAAAGTATAACGTTGCAAATCTGCGTTCGTTAGGATCGTAATTGAGTCAGGATACTTCAAATATCTAAGATACATGACTTCCTCAAATTGCGTTTTTGATATCATGCATGTCTAAGTTGGTGTTTGTATTCACACACTGCAGTAATCAATTGATATTGTTATATACAATACCCCAGTAATTGCATGAACAGTGCATTTCAATATCTACTACACCTGAACTGAATAGAAGAAATCTACTTTGCGTCATCAATTCACTCTGTGTGTTTTTACAAGAACTTGGGTTATCTGGAATATTATATATAAAAGTTTTTCTACATATCACTGAATATAACACACAACCAATCAACAAATACGCATGATGTATTCGTGTGGCAAATATCAGTCAAGTACCCCCCCCCATCCCATGTTATTTAGGTTGAGAATAAAGATATCCATCGTCGAATTGCCAAGGCTGAACACAGACACCGGCGACCTATCATTTTAAGACATTTTATTTTCAAAAATAAAAAAAAACGGTCCTAGATTCCAATCGTCTCTAGAAAGAGAGTTGCAGTGAATTACAATTAATCTGAATACACACCTGATTATTTCGTGCACTATTGTCCATATATGAGCATAATATGACTTTGTACTTTATCAGAAATAATTTTCTAATCATTTAATATTTGTTTTAATTAAGTAAAACATTTGTGTAATAATGTGAATATGCCACAAATGCGATAACATAACGTAATTAAATATACGTTTTCGTCTGCATTCGGAGTATGGCGCAGTCAACAGTTCCAAATCATGGAACATGTGTGTTAAATCCCGAATTAACAACCAACACATATTGATATTACATCATTAATAATTTCGCGTCACGTTATAATATTTGATTAAGACAGTGCGTTTGTCTGGGTGTCACGCAGTGTGTTGTATATTTCAACAAATCAACTAAATGGCGCAATGGAGAGCTCACTACTGAATAATTGTTAAAAATGTAACTGAACTCTGTTAGCGGTTAGCTTAATTTTGATTTTGTTTGGCTGTGAAAGTTGAGTATACACTCCCCCTCCCGAATTGTTAAAAACTGAAAAACGCGTTTCCCAACTTTTCTCTTTTTTTAGTTTAAGAGTAGTATTCTAAGATGGCTGACCACGGGTAGTAAATATATATATCGGTAAATTTATTTTATTATCACGAGTACGCCAGCTGACTGTGGAAAAGTCATATATTAAAAATGATATGAATCCTAATAATATAACCAAAAAAATCCAGTGTCATGATAGGA